TCGACTTTCCAAAGACCAAGCTAAATATGAAAGACTACATAGCAGTATACAGGCCATTTGGCAGAACAATATCAAAGTGATAGCTTAACTTTGCTCCAGGCATGACCAAATTTAGATGGTATTCAAAATGGCCCCAGAACTGTTTGGGCAGAGGAACTGCTACAGGTCGAGATTCTGAAGGATGATAGGAGAGGAGTATGACTGCCAACACTCTAAATCCTGCTAGAGTCTGAGAAAATTAAATTTAAGCATTTTTGTTTTCCTTTAGGCTCTCTTGCTCCAAAACTCTCAGGAATTTCTGAAACTTCAGCATATGTTGAAACTAAAACCACTGGGGTTAAGCTGGGTTCCTAGGTATCTAGGTACAAGGAAAGGAGTAAGGGCCTGGGGAAGCTTAAGGTTGCTCCACCCTAATCATTAGACTCCAACAAGGCCGCTGCCCCCACCACCACCATTGAATGTAATCCTATCCAGCCAATTCCCTCCTCCCAGGCAGATGGAAGATTCAGATCAGATAACATACAAGGGCTTCCCAGTTCTTGACTAAAGTAGGGTGGGATAGTAAGATGATATCCTATTGGTATCAAGGGTGCCACATCAATAAATTTCCACACCTTTCTGCCGGTCTGCTGTGTTTGTCATTGCTAACCAATCCATCCCTTCTAGATACTCTCTCCTCCCTCAGTTTTCTTTATACATCTCTTCTGATTTTCTGCCTACCTGAATATGTTTTCTCTATCACCTTTGTTTTCTCACCAATTCCCTACCAACTACAAGAGTTCCCCAAGGATTTCTCTAAAGTCCTTTTATCTTCTACCTTTATGCTGACTGTCAGTGATCTAATAAGCAAACATGAGCTCAGTTTTATTTTCTTTTCAAATGACTCCCAGATGTACGTACCCAGCTCTAGCCTCTCTCCTGAGTTCCAGTCTCATATCACCAACTGTTTATTGGATATCCCCAAATGAATATTTGTAGGCATTTCATACACATGTCCAAAATGTAACATATTATCTTCCCCTACTCAATCAATGCTTCTCCAAATTTACCTAGTCCTTTTGAGGGCACTACCATACTTCCAGTCATGCAACTTTCCAATTCAATGGAGAGTTCTAGTCCTTTGCCCTTATCTACCAGGAGCCAGTATTCATTCACCATAACAAAAAGAAAATAGTCATTTTCTACTCTTTCTATTCTTTCACCTATCATAACCAATAAATTTCCAAGTCTATTATATTATACTCTCTTAAATAGCTGTCAAACTCTCTCCACTCACATCCTCATTTGGGCCTTCATCACTTCTAAGCTGGACTATTGTAATAAAAGCCCAATAATTGGACTTCTCACACACACAATCACTCTTCACTTCATTCCATCCTTCACACAAATGTCAAAATAATCTCCCTTGTGATCATCTGACCACATCACTGCCATGCTTAAGAAGTCTCTGTGGCTCCCTCTTGCCTCTCAAGATAAACTATAAATCCCTCAACTTGACATTTAATACCCTTCAAAATCTGGCTCCAGCCCACCTTCTCACACTCAGATGATATTGCTGCCCTTCACATATTCTACATTCCAGCCAAAGCTGCACAGACTTGGAATGTTAGCTCCCACCTCTGTGGAAATAATGAATAAGATGCCCCCATGCTTAGAATGCAATCTTTCCCTTACCTCCACCTCCACAGAACCCCTGGCTTCCCATGGCTCTGTACATGTGCTACTTTCTACAGGAAGTCTTTCCTGAACCTCATAGTTATTAATGTTTTCTCACTTCAAATGATCATGTCTTCCTATCCCCAGCACCAACATCACGCACAAGGTAACCATTTAATAAATTTGTGCTGGATCGGAAGCTATCAGATGATCTATAGGAGTAGATGGCAATATGGGGCAGTGGGAGGAGCCTTGGATTTGGAGACAAAGAACCTGAGTTTGAATCTTAGTTTTGTCATTTATGATCTGTATGATTTTGGGCAAGTCACTTAACCTCTCTATGCCTCCATTCCCTCTTCAAGGGCAGCTGGTGGTACAGTGGAGAGAACAAAAGGCCTGGAGTCAAGAAGACCTAAGTTCAAATCCTTCCTTAGACACTTAGTAGCTGTGTGAGCCTGAGCAAGTCATTTAACTTCTGCTTGCCTCAATTTCCTCATCTGTAAAATGGGGAACACCTACATCCCAGGACTGCTGTGAGAATCAAATGACATAACAATTGTAAAGCACTAAACAATGCTTGGTACACAATGAGCACTATTCAAATGTTAGCTATTATTATAACTATTATCTGCAAAATGAAGAGGTTAGATTAGGTATCTTCTAGGGTCCCCTCCAGATTTAAATCTATGATCACCTGAGCCTCTCCTCCCTGGCTTCCCTTCTGACTCTTGGTCCAGGTGCAAAAATTCCCAGTTATTCTGTCACTTGATGATAAATTTCATGACAATCCACTGAAATTTAAAAAAAAAACTCCAAAACATTCCCACAAAATAGCCTTTTTACTTCCACTTCTGCACTGAGTTGTCAGAATGGCAGAAAAAGGAGCAAAAGGTGTTTAAAAATCACAGCATTTTAAAACGATCTATAAACACTCTAAATGAGGGCCAGCTGGGTGGCACAGTGGATAGAGCACTGGCCCTGGAGTCAGGAGGACCTGAGTTCAAATCGGATCCCAACCTCAAACACCTGACACTTACTAGCTGTGTGACCCAGGGCAACTCACTTAACCCCATTGCCTAGACAAAAACAAAACAAAACAAAACACTCTAAATGACCTACAACTAGAAGATCTAGAGCATCTCAATCTTGACCTTCTTGTCTTAAGGAAAAATAGAAGATAAAAAGAAGTTCCAAATAACCAGAAAGATGACTCACAGATTCTCTTTGGAGAAACAAAGGAGTTGTCAGAGTTGATTTTCTCATATTTCCAAAGTCAACAAGAAACATCATTTCATTAAATGGTAATTTCAAATTGCAATGCTCATGATAAGCATTTGCAAGAAGATCAGCATAAAGATGGCACTGTGCGCTAAACGTCTGTAATAGCCAGTGAAGAGGTAAAGAAACAACATAAAGAACTCAGTAAGACCCTCTGAGCTAAATCAATATACACTTAATACTCTGAGACTTCAGCACAAAGGTGGCATAGGAAATAGCAGCAAATATATATTAACATATATAAAATATATGTTTACATATATAAAATATATGTTTATGTGTATATATACACACACACATATATGTCTACATATTTGTACAGGGCAGCTAGATGATACAGTGGATAGAGTTCCAGACCAGGAGTCTTCTTCACGAATTCAAATCTGGCCTCAGACACTTACTAGCTGTGACCCTGGACAAGTCACTTAACCCTGTTTGCCTCAGTTTCCTCATCTGTAAAATGAACTGGAGAAGGAAATGGCAAACCACTCCAGTTTCTTTGCCAAGAAAATCCCAAATGGGGTCATGGAGTCAGACACAACTGAAACAACTAAACCACCACAACAACATATGTGTATATATGTAAGTGTGCGCATATGCATGTGTATACATGTATACACTGAAAAACATGATTCAAGAATACGAAAAGAAGGCCAAAGATTTATAAACTATACAGAATCTTCATGCCTGTATACCCATGGATACTTTCTTCAAGAAGAACATTAAACAACGTTGTCCCCCGCAAAAGTGACACTGATTATAGTCTAACAAAAACAAAAAGACTTCTTACTGCTGTGGGAATCATTCCTGAACCAGCTGTCTATATACCATTAGATACCTGACTTCCTACAGCAAAGATCAAAAACAAATTAGAATACAAATGTGTTTCCTATCTTCTCAATTGAGGCAATTCCAACCTATTCTACTTAAACAAGCCATTGGGTGAGGAAGAAAGAAAAGGGAGAGAAGAAATAATAAAATATGGAATTCAAAAGTATTTTAAGGTTTACAAAGTGCTCTATAGACATTATTTCATTTGAGCCACTCAATTACTGTATAAAGTAGGTATTACAAGTAATTGATTATGTATGAAACATGGGGAAGTGGAAAGATAATCCCAAGATTTCAAACCTGGGAGACTGAGTGAAACGTAGTACTAAAGACAGGTAGTGAAGCCAGAAGGAAAGCTATACTTAGGTAAGAAAATAAGCATAGTTTTTGACAGATTGAGTTTGGAGTTCTGAAGTGTAGTGTTTTGTGTTTTGTTTTTTAAAATCAAAGTTATTAAAGGAAACTAGGATATTATGGAGGCATGTTTTTAACTTTTGAGACTGCTATAAAGAAAAACAATCATATACCTTTCCACAACATACACACTCAAACTCCCAATGAGTTTAGCAATTCTTATATTCTTTTTTTATTATTATTGAGGTACTTATCTTAATATTGGAAGATCTGCAGCAAACATTTCATTTTTACAGAGAACATGTACATAGCCCCTAGAAAGATCCCCAAGGATATTACAGCAGCTGCCAAGACAACAGTTTTCCTGACCGTCAGAGACAGAGCCCTAGAATCCACCATCTGCTGTTGGGAGATCTTCTCAGATGCACATTTTACAAAAAAAACAAAACAGTGGCATAATAAGTAGCTTTGTGCCAGCAGTAAAGTGCCATGTGTTTATTTCTTAGAAACAGGTACCAAGCCCAGCAGACAAATATTTTAGAACTTGGAGCCAAAACAGACTCTCTCTATTATTTTCACATAATATAAGGAGGATATATATTTCTCCTTGTGTTGTCCAGAGATCCTGAAATTTTAAGTCTCAGCAACTAAACCTCTGGTGAGGATGTATTTCTAGACCTGACTCAAAAAACGACAATCTTAATAGGAAAAGCCAAATAACAAAGCAAGTCAGCACTGTAGGAAACACCTACACATGTTTTTCAGTTAAACCTATAACTTTGAAATACACCACAATTTAAAAAGACATAAAAGCCAATGGCTAATCAAAACGTTTGAAAGCCATTTGAAAGTACTACTGTGTAAAAAACCTAATCATTTACCTCTTTGACTGAGAATTCCTTCAGGCCTAAATATCTCTGGAGTCTCAAAGGCAAAAATGCAGTCACTTTCGTGCACTGTTTCCAGATCATCTGTGTCACAAAAGGAGCGATGGAACCCATCATAGTACATCTCCGTTAACACAATCTAAAAACAGGAGAAATGGAAATGGTTAGACAACCATAGAGTTAGTCAGAAATTGATCTCTCAATTCTACTAGGAAGCAGAGTCATAAAAAATCTTCTCAAGTTGGCAGTGAAGCAGCTTTGAGAGAACTCACAGGAAAAGAACACACAGTTCCACAAACCATTTCTTCAATGAGCACATCTTAGAAGGGGAAAATCCCTAGGCACTTTTAAGAAAATGGTGTACTCTAATTTCAGGATGTGTACATTGCTCTAAAGAAAGTAATATGGTCATAGAATTTTAGAGTTGGAAGAAACCTCAGAGTCCTTCTAGGGCAACAGCTTAATTTTGGAGATAAGGGGGAGAAAAAGGAAAAAAAGCCTCAATGACTAAATACTTTGCCTAAGATTACACAGCTAGTTAGTAACAGAGGTGAGATTTAAAACCAGGTCCTCTGATCTCTACATCTAGTGATCTTTTTGCTGTACCATGCAGAGGTTTCCTTAGGGGTTATATGTATCATCAGTCTGGTACCCTTCACTGGAAAGGTATTCAGAGGATAATCAAAAATCAAGGTGGGCAAACTTGGTCAAGTACATATCACCCATAACCTAGGGAATAACTAGGGAATGAAAGAACCAATAGAATTCCCATTCAATCAGGCTAAGAGTTTCTCAGTTGGGGATGGCTGGTTCTCGCCCATTCCCATGTTAAAAATCTCTCATAGCTACAGAACTTCTAGCCTGGGAAGAGAGAAGGATTAGGGGAAGTAACTTTAAAAGATTCCTGAAACAAGAAATCTGTGTCATATGTCTTCTTAGAAGAATGTGTATAAAGTATTTACAAACCATACAGAACTTAATGGGTGGCAGCTTTAATACTATTTTCATCATTACAAAGGGAACAATTGATGCTCATAGTGTTTGCCTTAATATAATTACTTCTCAAATTAGGTCCCATGAGATCAGGTTGCAAAACAGCTTTATTATTAAACTGATAACACTATGATTTCCACAAACTATCAGGAAAAAAGAAGCTAAAAAAGTGAAGTGTCTTAGTAAATTCTAAAATGGAAATATTTCTCAGGAGAAGCGATGTAGTATCATGGTAAGAAATGGGTTTTTGAAGTCAGGAGTCCCAGGCTTACATCCCAGTGCTTAGCCTTTATGAGCCTTGGTTTCCCATCTGTAAAATGAGGCTAATACTTGCATGACCTGCATCACAGAAATTTCATCAGAAAGTACTTAGCAAATCTCAAATAAGAAATTGTTATTGAAATAATAGAGGTAAGTGCTTATGAACTACATCCAAAGCACACATCTAGTTACAAGCAGGTTAAAACTCTTTTAATTCAATTTAAAGAGAATACTACATGAAAGATTTACATAAAAATGCATTGAGAATTTCCATTTACTGGTCTTCACCTAAAAAGGTTGAGGAATTCTGATCTAAATTATCAGTTCAAGTGCTTGCGTGAAGAGAAAAGCACCCAGTAGTAGTAAGTAACAGTAGGCTTCCCTCTACCACCACTCCTCCTCACCAATTTGAAAGCTGATTTGCTTTAGCTATTGGGTGAATCACTGGACAATATATAACATGCCTATTCATCGGATAACATTGGGATAATACTTTTATTGATTCCACATCTCCTTGGGAATTAACAAGAGTGATTATAAAGTAATTTGGACTCATCAGGAGTTTTTGCTTCTATATCCCCCGCAGACTTTTAGGAATAAAGTTTTGGTAAAACCTATCATAAAATCTCTCATTTTGTTTATATTTTTTTAAAAGATAAATGCGTGTGTGTGTGTGTGTGTGTGTGTGTGTGTGTGTGTGATTAAAACAAACAAAAAAGTAAGATGTTGGCCAACATTGTCTTGAAAAACCCCTCCCCCAATAATGTTGTAGTTTTAAAAAATCCATTTCTATGCTGGGCATACAAATGCTTAAAAACAATAAAACAGTACTTACCACCTAACAGAGGGGTGATAGATTCAAGTTGAAGAATAAGAAATATATATAGCTTAACGTGGAAAAAATGGGGATTTCTTTTGCTTGACTAGGTCTAAAAACAGGTTTTTCCCTTTTTTTTCCCAATGGCAAGAAGTAAAAGGAAGGGAGCTCTTAAGGATTGCTTTCTCCCAAGAAAAGAGAACAGAAAAGAAGGGATGACCAGAAAGAACTGCAGACAGGCAGGACAGTATTAAAAGTTACACTGGATTTATTATATACTTTTTTTAAAAAGGCGATCTCTATCTAGTAGTTTCATGTGCAATCCTCTCTTCTACAAAATATAGGGAAATGACCATTTTACCTGGTGTTTAAGTTTAGAATTGAAAAAAAGAAAGAAAGAAATGTCAGCCATATGGGCAATGTACACAACAATGTACATGCATCCTGTGGGATAAGTTCCTCCTTACCTGATCAGTAGGGATCTTTGTTTCCACTGACACTGCTTCCCGAAGCCTAGCTACCGTCCCAGACAGAGGTACGGCCACCCCGATTCTCATGCAGTGAGAGCATTTTCCTTGATACACAACTGTGACATAGAGAGGCCTGCACAGATCAAAGTTGAGTCTTTCCTTTAGGCAGGTTGTTCACGTTTCAGCTAACACCTACAATTAACAAATCTGACCTGAGCTGACTCAATGCTGAATCTACCTCCAGACCACTTACTATTTGCAAACCAAACACAATACCTTCTTTGGACCCAAACAGCTCAAACAATGGTTTGAGATCAAGAAAAGGTATTTTACAAAGATGGATTTTACTAACAGAATTGTAGGGCACCAGTCTAGGAATGAACGTGTTCTGATAACTCATTTAACCTGAGTCTTCTGTGCTTTGCATTCACTATTAAATAAATAATCGCACCAAGAGTCATGAAGAATTATTAAAAGCACAGCATCTGGCTTTATTACAATCCAGCAATGGGGCCCCAAAAGTATACAAAAGAGAGCCGTTGATTCCACTAGACAGCAGTATCTCCCCTCTCCCTGCTGGAAATTGACTTATAGTTGCTTCACTTTGTAGGTATTTAGTATTTATTTCTAAGTGTACACATTGCTTCCCCAATAGGATGTATGCTTCCTAGGGGCAGGTAATGATTCGTTTTTGTCTTTTTATCCCCAGCACTAAGCACACTGCGTAGAACACAGTACATTGACAAATGTTTGGCCAACTGACTGAGACAACAATCTTTTCACTCTATGGACAACATGCTCAGGGAGAAGTAACTGAATGAAAAAGCTCTCAGTATTCACATAACTACCACCAAGAATTGTATACCCTGTAAATGTAGAGAAGCATTTTTGCAAGGGTTTATTAAAGGATTCCTTAACTTATTCTAAAACTCTGTTTCTTGTACAATGTTTTCCTGGACAATGTCAGTATTGGGGGGAGGGGGAAAGACACAGTCTTCATGAAATCAGTTCTATTCTTACCTTGTGTGGGGCAGAGGAATTGGCAAAGAAATGCAGAGGAAAGGATCAAAGGTATTACTCTGCTTCTGGCAATGAGGACAAGTCAAAGAAGATCTGCAAAAACAAAAGCATGAGACACAAAGACAGCAACACTGTTTGAACTTATTCAGCGTATAAAGAAGGTCCCACTTCACTAAGCAATCAAGCGATCAAAAAGGAAGGGGGGGTGGTAATGAGAAAACTCTCATTCTAGGGTTTTAGTTTTTCCTAACCTTAATCAGATATGAGCAAAATCACATATATGTACAATAAGACCTTCATAGAAACTCAGTGACTATAAGGCTAGGTCACTATTGAGCAAATATCATCACCTAAAATTTTTATGATGTCAAAATTCAAATGTTAGGGGGAGGGACAGGGAAGGGAATCAAGAAAACCAACCCTGTTTCTACATGTAGCCAAGTCAAATAGAACACTGTTCATAAACATATGTGAAATAGTCCTCCCTACCAGATGGTATCTCTCCCTTCTCCATAGCATTTTGTTGTGCCTCGATCTTCTGGCACTTAAACTATAATTATTAATGCATTTGGCTTATCCCTCCTATGAGATTGACTCCCCAAAGCCAGAGATGTGTCTTACTCCTCTTCCTATCTCACTGTGGCCTCTCCATTCCACCATCAAAGCCCTGCGTGCAGTAGGAATTTAATGATTAACAAAAATTGATCTGATGTTGAAATTATCCCTCTCCCTAGAAATTCAACAATAATGGTCCAGAGCTTTAGGTATTTTGGAAATATTCAAATCAATTTTACCTCCAAACCAAAGATCTCCAAGAAAAAAGAGGTAAGATTGTATTCACCTAAGACTCTACAGAGGAAGTCAGTTCCATAAGAATGGGAAGCCCTCAAGAATGAAATTTTGATAACAGATACAAAATACTTCCAATAAAGAAAAGAAAAGGAGAGGTATCTAGATATGCATATGACTACACAAGTAACCCACTGATTAAATCAGATAAGCTTAAAAAGGTATGTACAAAAGATGGAAGCATGAGTAGATAAATGAACATGGAAAACAGCACAATACTATGAGAACAATAGCAGGCATGCTACACCACAGAAGATGAGGCTTATCATGGATACTAAAGACAACAGAAAGATATTTTTCAAAGATTCATGGAAAGCAGAAAGATGCACAGTGAAGCAGGAGGAATGCTGTTCTGTGCAGATGAGACAGTGATGATAAACTACTGACAAAAGGAAGAAACAGTAAACTTTTATTTTGTTTCTGTTTCCTCTGTCAAAGAAAATGGTTTTCAAACTGGAAAGACATCATTCAAACTATAGACCAATTGAGCTTAAAGTTAATTTCTGGAAAAATTCTAATATAGTTTATTAAGATGATGGCTTATGGGTCATTTAGAAAGGAAAATGGTGATCATTGAAAGCCAGCATAGCTTCATCAAGAAAAGGGCATTCCAGACCAACACCATATCCTTTTTTGTTTTGTTTTGGGTTTTTTGGGCAGTGCTATTAGATTGGCAAATCAAAGAAATTCCATAATCACAGTATGCTTGAATTTTAGCAGGCATTTTGTTAAGTCCCTCAGACTATTGTGAATAAGATGCAAGGATATGGACTAAATGAAAGTAAAGACAGACGGTCTCAGAACTGAATAAATGGCTAGACCATAAAAAAATAGTGATTAATGGGTAAAAGTCAACTCAGAGGGAGAGTTGTTGTAGAGCCCCAAAGAGATCTGTCCTTAAGGCATGCTTATCAAATTTGAACATGACACAAAAGGGCAGGGCTGGAAGAAGGAAGAGATAGATAATATATTGACTGGCAATGATGCAAAAAGAGCTCAATAAGCTATAAGAGTAGACCAAATCTCCTAAGATTTAATAGGGATTAATATAAATCTGACACTGACTCAAAGAAAACAATCCCAAGCACAAGATGAGAAAGATATAGCTGTGTAATAGCTCTCATTGAAAGAAAGAAAGAAAGAAAGAAAGAAAGAAAGAAAGAAAGAAGGAAGGAAGGAAGGAAGGAAGGAAGGAAGGAAGGAAGGAAGGAAAAGGAAGGAAGGAAGGAAGGAAGGAAGGAAAGAAAGAAAGAAAGAAAGAAAGAAAAAAGAAGAAAGAAAGAAAGAAAGAAAGAAAGAAAGAAAGAAAGAAAGATGGAAAGAAGGAAAGGAAGGAAAGGAAGGAAGGAAGGAAGGAAGGAAGGAAGGAAGGAAGAAAGAAAGAAAGAAAGAAAGAAAGAAAGAAAGAAAGAAAGAAAGAAAGAAAGAAAGAAAGAAATGGAAGGAAAAGAAAACAAAGAAAAAAACTTGTGATCTGTAAGAAATGATGAAAGGGATAATTTCAGAGAAAACTTAGAAGACTTTTATGAACTGATACAAAGTAGACAATTATTTATACAGTAACATTGTGATGACAAACATATTTGAAAGCCTTAAGACCAATCATAATTCCAAAAAACTAATGATGCACACTATCTATGTCCTGCCAAACAGGTGATATACTTAGGGTACAGACTGACACATACTTTCTGGACATGGCCAATATGGGTATTTGTTTGGAACATGCATATCTGTTATGGGGTATTGTTATGTTTCTTAATGGGGAGGATATGTAAGAAAATAATTTTTTTTTGGTTTATTGAAATAAATTAAAAATTTTAAAAGACCTGGGAGGTTTAGTAGACTCAGTCAAGAATACAATGTAGCAGTCAAAAAAGCAAATTCAATCTTATGCCATATTGGCAGAAAAACAGTGTCCAGGATGAAGAACATAATAATCATACTATGACTACACATATATAACCTGTATTGAGTTGCCTGCCTTCTCAGTGAGGGTGGATGGGGAGGGAGGAAGGGAGAAAATTTGGAACCCAAAGTTTTAAAAACACATGCTAAAAAAAATTGTTTTCACATGCAACTCAAAAATAAGATATACAGATAATGGGGTATAAAACTCTATCCTGCTCTACAGGAAAATTGAAGGGGAAGGGGATAAGAGAAGGGGGGGAGAGACAGAAGGGAGGGCAGATTAGGAGAAGGGGTATTCAGAATGCATGCCATCTTGGGGTGGGGGAGGTATGAGATGGGGAGAAAATTTGGAACTCAAAATCTTACGGAAGTGAATGTTGAAAACTAAAAATAAATAATTTTTAAAACAATAATAATAATAATCATGCTATATTTTGCCCTGAAATATCATAATCAGTTCCTAAATGCTGGAGGATGTACAGAGAAAGGTGACTGGGATGATAAGGCAACTCAGAACCAAAAATATGTCATAAAAGGATCTGTTGGAAGAACTGGAGATGCTGGCTTCCCTCCAGGTAAGAAAAAAAAAACTTAAGAAAGACATGATACCTTCCTTTCAATGTATGACAGGTTGTCATGTAGAAGAGGGATTAGCTTTGTTTTGCTTGGCTCTGTAAGAAAAACCTATGAGTAGAAGTTGCTGAAAAGTAGGCTCTGACTAGGTATAATGGGAAAACTTGCTAACAATCTGCAGTTGTCCAAACTTGGAATAGACTAACTTAAGTGAAAGTTTCCTATCAGTGGAGTCTTCAAGACTTGGCTAAGGGCAGCTAGATGGCACAGTGCATAGAGCACCAGCCCCAGAGTCAGGAGAACCTGAGTTCAAATTTGGCCGCAAACACTTATTAGCCGTGGGAATTTCTTGGCAGGTACAGTTTTAACTAAATGACTTGAAATCCTTTCCACCTACGAGATTCTATAATTATAAGTCAAAGCTAGGAAACAAACAACTAGTGATTAATTTAAAAAAAAAAAGACCATGAGTAGATCACAAATACATAATTTAGGAACAGGTAAAGAAGCAACTTTTAAAATTAGTCTTTTCTCCTAGAAGGACCTGATTTCAATCATTAGAAATTCAGTAACTTACTTAAGACAGAATATCAGTAAATACACACATAGCAAAAGTTCTTCATTTTAGGACTGAATAATGTTCCAGACTCTCTTTCCACCTAGTTTTCATGGCAGTTATGGGTGAAAAGCTACTTATAAAAGGAAGGGAAGCTGCCTAAGGCCAGTGAATGGTTGATTTCATCTTTTCTTCCGATTGGTTTGGGGGCACAGAGGAGCAGTTCTCTGAAGACGCCAAGTAACACCAGAAGAAACCAAACAACAATATTCCCACAGACATCCACCAATCTGAGATTTATTTGCAAGTGCTAAGCTTCCCTTAAGGAAGAAAAAATTAGTTGGTAATGTAAATATTAGTTACTCCCTAACTTGCTATAAACTTTCTGGATCAGATCAGTAGCTAATTGAGGGAGGATTCCTCAATAGAGTGGTAGACAGAATCCTAGTTTACAAAATAGTGTAACATATAGTGCTACATAATAAACTTATTTCCCCACATCCATTATTAACTAACATTATTAGCATATTAAAAAATTAACATTATTAACAAAATGTTGAGGATCTTAATGTAACCCAATTGAAAGAAAAATACTGTATTTTTCATTCTTTCATTTCATTGATCTCTATGGTGGATTATTTCATTATTTATCTGTTAATGTTTCATGATACAATGATATTTTAATAATCATTATAATATTTTAAATTTATATAGCACTTTATTATTTACAAAGCTCTTTGATATACATCTCATTTGAGATATATTTAAATGTACAAATTTTACCAAAACACTACGTGGATATTTTCACTCGGTCATTGAACTGGCTGTTTGGTGTATGGTTTTGCTTAATTGAGGGGGTGTGGGGGGCAGGGAATGGAATTCTAAGGAATAACAGGTACTAAAGTGATTAGTGATGTTAGAAGACAGTAGCAAATAGGGCAAGTCCTGAGCCAGAATCTCCGAAGTAGACCAGGTTATTTTCAAAGCTAAGAAGGAAAGAAAAAATGTTTGAAAGAACAAAACAAACAAGATGACCCAATCTACAAACAACAAATCCCTGTGTACACACCAAGGAAATACGCCAACATTTCACAGATAGAAACCTGTTTTAACAAATACAAGATTATTTCTACGGCTAAAGCAACAGCTTCTACTACTACGAATCTGATGACTTATATTTATAATATGTGTATGAATATATGTCTGTGTGTATGTGTGTGTGTATAATATATAAAACTGTAGCTGTATTTATACTTATATACATAGGTACATACAGATAAAGCCAACAATTGATATATTCTATCCAAACTCTTCCCCACCCCCCAAAAAAAAGATCCATTGTAATTGCTTCCAGTTTCAGTTTTAAAATTGAAGGCTTTAACTACAGTGTATCAAATGGGTACAAATCTTCACCAGTGGTGAGAATGCTGTGTACAAAGCTATAATTTAGCAGGATCCAAAGCAGTGGGGACTACACGACTTTCACAGCAGATATACCATTAAGTATGTGAAGGTCATTATCCCAATTGTTGACATCAGCTATAAATACAATTGTGTGCCTTCTTTTTTTAAGGGAGGAGGGACTAAGTAAATTCAATGTAAAGGGAAATTTAAGTATCAGGGAGTATACATTCCCAATCTTTGAAGTTTAGTGACCTGATGGAAAGTCGTATCCTCCTACACAAACATTCCCCGATGTTCACCAATACCACAGGACTGACTCAGTGTCAAAATTCTTGCGATCCTATATTTGCAGAGAACAAAGAATCAGCTACCACCAGGCTAAAAGAACAAAACAGAAGGCTGTGTAGCTAATTGTTAGTGTGTATCACATGAAGCTTTCCTTCCCCTGCAGAGATTAGAAGAACCTCATTGTCCTAAATACAACAGAGGTTCCATACATTCCACAAAGCACACGACATACTATACCTGTACTGGGCTTGAAAAAGTTCTTGTACAAAAGTGCTACTGACTGGAAAAGAAGGTCCCTCGGGCACTACATCATCTTCTAATGGAGGCTGAAAAAGAAATGACAAGTCTTTAAACTGGAAATATCAATTCTTCACTAGAGGTTAGCTTTTAAAATTCACAAATATTACCTAAACTTCCACAGAAGGGTATATGTCAGAAACAGTAAGAATAAGAATAAGAATACCAGCCAACACTTACAGAGCACTTTAAGGTCTTCCACATGCTTTTAAAATATGATCCCGTTTGGTAATAATAACCCTGTTAAGTAGGTGCTGTAATTACCCTCATTTTAGAGATGATGGAAATGAGAAAGAGGTTGTAACTGACTTGTTAAGGTTTACATAGTTAGTATGTAAGGCAGGATTTTAATTCAGGTCTTCCTGACTCCAGAAGTCCTATTGAAAGATATTTATTTATTGAATTTGATCATTGATCACCTAAGTAAAAACAGTTATTGAGATGGAAATCCACCACACCGGTCTCTTCACCTTCTCTCTTCTCAAACAGACTGTTATCATTCCCAGATCCTTACCTTTACTCAGTTTCCCTTACCTGGAATGTTATCCCCCTTTCCTATCCATGCACCCACATCTTTCCTCTCCTTTAGGGCCTAAGTCAAATACTACCCCTTACAGAGGTTGCAGGGACCAATTCAGTTCGCAACAATGTCTCAAATCTTCTCAATTCCAGCAGCATGAATCACCTCTTTCACTCACTCTGACGGTTAGTCATAGGCATACCACTTCATATTTTCATTGATTTGTTTAATGATCTGACACTTAAACATCTCTTCAATCCTCACTGTTCCAAGCACAGTTATAGGCATGTGAAATGCCCTCACTATTTCTTCCTACATTTTACAGTTTATCCAGATCTTTTTACTCAATTGTATTAATTCAATTAAATGCAAACTCCACAAAAATAATACCATAACAATTTGGGAGGACAGCCTTTCTTTCTACCCCTCTCCTCGTACATTTGTTAGATCAAGGTACTTTAAAAAAAAAACTAGACCTCTAAACAAAAAAAAACAGAGAAACAAATAAATTTCCTTACCTTCAAGGGAGGTCGGCCACTCTGTTTCAAAAAATTGTTGAGATCTTCATGCACACGGTCCAAAAGCCATAGCAGAAACTCCTGGGCATCATGCTGGGAATTCCCTCGATATTGTAGTGCATTTTTTGAGACAATACTCTGCAAGTATATAAATCATTCTAGATCAGTATGGCTGTAGCTTTAAAAATAAACTATCTCTTTCCTTACTCCCTCAAATTCAGGATGCTATACTTCATCAAATATTTTATACTTGGCTCAACAAACAGGTTGGAAATAGAATGTTTTGTTTTGTTTGTTTTCAAAATTTTAGGACCCACCTTGCCTTTTAAAGTAAATTTAAGAATTAAAAAAAATACAGGAAGTGAATGACAATGATAAATTCCCTATCAGACAATGAGAGGCTTGCTAAATGCCTTCCCCCAATTATTTCTGTTTATTGAAATCCTGTTTGTCAAATATGACCTTCTTCGTGAAGACTTTCCCACAACGTGATATGAATCCCCAGAGTGCCTTGATTCACATCTCACTTACAGTTTTTACATGTGGAAGAGGGATCAGATCAACGTGTTTCTCTTGATTCTGGAGGAAAAAAACTAGTTCATCAAAATGGGTAGAAACTGCCAAGATATAGACTTTGGCTCTAGCCTGCTTTGCAGTATAGTTTTCAGTGACTTTTTCTTTAGAAGAATCACAGTGTCTGAGAATGAAAAGGCCAGCAGCCATCTAACCAACCCAAACACAAAAGGAATTCCCTCTATAATGCACCGAGCAAAAAGTAGCTCAGCCTCTCCTCGAAGACCTCCAAGGTGAGGGCCCCACTGCCTGTAAAGGCAGCCCATTCCCACTTTGGGGCTGCTCTAATTGTTGAGAAGTTTTTCTGAGATCAAGCCTAAGATAACTCTCTTTACAATTCTACACATTACTCCTGGTTATGCTCCCTGGAGGCAAATTGAACAAGACACACACATATACATACACACACACACACACACACACACACACACACACACACACACACACAACGGCCCTTCAAATACTGGAAGACAGCTATCAAGACCACATGGGCCTTCTCTTTTCCAAGATAAATAAGCCCAATTCCTTCAACCTATCTTCATATGATGTCCATTCATAGCCTTCCACTCTCCTGTTGCCCTCCTCTGTAGGCTAACAATATTCTTCTTAAATTGTGCTTAACTTAACTTAAACTTAAACTACTCCAAATGACATCTGAGTAGTGAAGGACTATCACCTCCCTATTTCTTTAATCTATGCCCAAGATTGAATTAGTTTTTAAAGCTGCCGTATCATACTGCTAATTCATATTGAGCTTGCAAGTCTACTAAGACTCTTGTATCTCTTTCAGTTCTTACTGCATCCAAGTAGATTGTGTGCTTCCTAAGCATACAAGAGCAGAACCTTTGACAGTGTTGCATGTAGTAGGCGTTCAATAAATATTCTTTTAATTAAATTAAATTGAATATAGACATTGAAAGAGTATCATATGAAGCACAGAATGCTACCAGCTGGTCCCATAACAACACAGGAGAAAATCATAGTTTTCAAATTAATACTTTAGTGACAGCGCAAATACAAAGTAGAATATGCCTAGAATAATCAAGTTTGGCATAAATCCATGGCTAATACATTTTTAGATTCCCTGAAGAGAAAACAAAGCTTTTGCTAGGAGGTGAGCAAAAAGAGCAACCCAAAAAACCTTGAAAATAAAGGAAGTCCTAGTGTTTCCTGAGCTAATAAAACACCTTCACCCAAAGATATAGAGACAATTGAAAGAGAGGAGTTGTTGTTCAGTCACTTTCAATCATGTTCAACTCCTCATAACCCCACTTGGGGTTTTCTCATCAAAGATACTGGAGTGGTTTGCCATTTCCTTCTTAGCTCATTTTATAGATGAGGAAACTGAGGCAAACAGAGTTAAGTGACTTGCTCAGGGTCACACAGCTAATTAGTATCTGAGGCTAGATTTGAACTCCAGAAGATGAATCTTCCTGGCTCCAGGTCCAGCATTCTATCCAATGTGCCACCTAAGATCCAGTAGAATTGTAGAATGCTTTTTGTGAGTCTTTTTTTTAGTTTTACTTTTTTTCATTTTATTGATATTTTCTGTTTTCATGACCCCTTCATTTCCAAGTATTTCCCTTCCCCTTAACATACCCAGACAGTCATGATGTATATTAAGGAATGGAAAGGGAAATTTTAAAAAAAAAGGGCAGTTCAGCAAAGTTACCAACATATCAAGTTTAACAGTATATGCAACATTTCTGCACCTATAGCGCTCCACCTATGCAAAGGTGGGAAGGACCATTTTCTCAGCTCTTCTTCAGGGTCAACCATTGGTCATTATATTACACAGCATTCAGTTTTGTTGGGGGATGTGTGCACGTGAGTGTGTGTGTGTGTGTGTGTGTGTGTGTGTGTGTGTGTGTTTGTTAGTTTTCCTAATTCTGGTTACTTTATTTTCCATCAGTTCATACAAAGCTTCTTAATTATCTTGGAACTTTAAATACCAGGAAAAAAAATTCTCTTCCTCTTCCTCCTATCCTACCCTCACTCAACTAAAAATCATACTCTAACTTCACTAAAAAGTTTGAAACTTTCATGCTATCTATATTTCATGCTATAGAGAGCTCTCTATCTTCCCTCTCTTACACTTTTCTAAAAAATGATAATAATATTCATCCTGCTTATCAAACAGGACTGTCATAATAACCAAACAAGATAATCCATATGAAAATGACAATTCACATTTGTACTAAGTTTTAAAGGCCTGCAAAGCACTTTCTTCACAACTATTCTGCAAGGGAGGAAGGAAAGGCAAGATATAGATTAGATAGATAGATACATTGATAATATAGGTAAACAGATAGATATAAGATAGATAGATAGATAGATAGATAGATAGATAGATAGATAGTACATTTGTGTATATGTATATATACGTGTGTGTGTGTGTGTGTGTGTGTGTGTGTGTGTGTGTATAAGACTTTGGACACAGCATTTTACTATCAGTGCCCCAAGCAACTTGTGGATAGTTTAGAGATATTTAACCTGAGATCTACAGCTCCAAAGGGATCTATTGATAGATTTCAGGTCATTGATGAAACTCCCTCTACCAACAAAGGGGTGGGTAGACTTGCCCAGGGTCACAGAGTCAGTATGTGTCAGAGGCTAAACTTGAACCCAGATGTTCCTAGTTCCAAGCTTGCTCTCTACTCACTATATAATACCCTGACTCTTAAAATGTATGTCATTATTTTTAAATGACCAAACTCCTTTATTCCTATTATCAGAGAAAAATGTGTCAATGCTCCTTTACATGACCTTTCCCTCAGTGCTCTCAATTCAATTCAACCAATATTTCAATGACTACTGTAATCAACACACACAAACACTCATATACACTCATATACACACACACACATACACACACACTTCACACACAGAGTTGTAGGCCCATGGGAAGTTATAGTACCCTCAGATATCTTTAAAATCTCCCTCAATGTTACCCCTTCCAAATCTATTCCTAGTCTTCACGCACTTTAACCTTTCCTGTAGCATTTGACATTGTGTATACCTTATTCTCCCTGGATATTCCCTTTTCCCTCAACTTCTAATTCACTGCACTAAACCTAGTCCTACCTCTAAATTGTTTTTTTTCCACTAGTTTATTATCCTTTCACCCCTAAGAGGGACTGATCCCCAAGGTCCTATCAACAGTCCTCTACTAACCCTCAGTAATCTCATTCATTCCATAAATTCAAAACTCACTCTTATGCATATGAATGCAAAATCTATACATCCAATCCCAATCTCAACTTTCAACTGCCTAGTCTACCTATTTACTGGCACATCAAAATTAACATCTCTACAACTGAACTAGTCACCCCTACAAAACTCAGTCCTCCCCATTCCTGTTAAAGCCACCATCTTCCCAGTCTCAAAATCTCAGTAATCTCTGGTTCTTAACTTCCTTACAGCCCACATTCTGTAGATTCGGGGGCAGCTAGATGGCACAGTAGACAGAGCACTGGCCCTGGAGTCAGGAGGACCTGAGTTCAAATCCGGCCTCAGATACATAATACTAGCTGTGTAACCCTGGGCAAGTCACTTAACCCCATTGCCTAGCCAAAAAAAAAGAAATCTGTAGATTCTATTTGCCCTGTCTCTCCCACATTGATCCCTTCTTCTCCACTCATAGTAATACCCCCTGATTAATATCTTCATCACCTCTAGCCCCCACTGCTGGAGGAGCATCCTAATCGGTCTCCTTATTTCCAGTCCCTCTTCTCTCTAGTGCAACCTTCGTATAGCTGACAAAATGATCACCACTGCCCTGTTCAAAAACATTCAACGGATCCCTTTTGCCTATAGAGTAAATTGTAAACACATTAGCATGGCATTCGGGGCCCAAACAATCTGGCTTCCATTTGCCTCTCCATTTTTAGTTCACATCATTCCCCTTCAGACACTCTACATTCCAGCCAAACTGCACCAGTAAGTTGTTTCCCAAGCTTGACGTGCCATTTTTTACCACCAACACATTCATACAATCCACCCTCCATGTCTGGAATACATTCCCTCTCCATCTCTGCCTTTCAGATCTTTGTCCTTATGATGCCCTATCTTGTATTATACTTATTAGGGCAGATATTCCCACTAACCCACCTCAGTAGATAGTAAGCTCCTTGAAGGCAGGAACTATATCATTTTTCATCTTTGTAACTCTAGCCCCTAACACACTACCCACTACCTTAATCATAGCGTTTAATGAATAGTGCTTGAACTGAATTTGCTAAATTTCTCTCCATCTTCATTTTATTTCCTCCTAGGCTCATTCCCCTACACTTATGGGGGGACGGGAGGAGAGAGAGAGAGAAGGGGGATGGACAGTATATTTGTCCCTAAAGCTCCATTTAGTTTAATTTTTTGAATAATATTCCAATTATATATAAAAACAATTTTAAACATTCTTTTTCAAAAATGTTGAGTTCTAAATTCTCTCCCTCCCTTGTCCCCTCCCTGAGATGGTAAGCAATTTGATGTTTTTTAGCAATCTGATATTTTTATTTCTTTTAACTACCATTCTTTTCAGTGTACTGGTCTAAGTAAGGCTGCCTCCA